GACGTTGCTGATAATTAATGATAATTTTTTATGTTTTTCTCTTAAAATCTTTGCTATACATGCTTGTCTGTCTGTTTTCCTTTGTTAATGTCTTGGAGCACTCTAATGAACAATATTGGCTAATTCCATGCATGTGGTAAACTATTGACATTGCAATTTGTGGTGTTTATGGTCGTCAGAAAATTCATCTCCATGTATAACTTAGCTAACACCTGGAGTTTCTGTGACATGGATTGCGGCAAGAATCGTTGTTATGATGAATTGAGACATGTTATTCATGTTTTTGAGTAATGTAGGTCAATTCACTGCAACCAGTTTCTTTTACTTGGCATATCTAAAGTTTAAAGTTTTCCTTGAATTTTGAGATCATTTCAGAGGTCAGCCCACCCTTCTATCCCCTTCCCAACACTTGATGATTGCTTCTCATAGGTCACACTTGGATGAGGGACCCTGCACCACTTCTTGAAGAACCATATGTATGGGAAAAGCAAAGTTGTGGAGAATCGGATTTGGGTAGAGGGTCTTTCTCTGCAAACTTTATGCCTAGAAATGAGGACATCAGTTTTGGCATCGGCTCCCCTATTATTTGTGATGCCTCACCACCTGAAGTTACATGCAGATCATTGTTTTCTTCTTTTTTGAGGGACCCATCAACACATTGCTTTGAAACTGGCGGCTTTTCTTTCCACAGCAGTTGTGGATCAGACACCCTGGAATTCTCTACCCCTCTCCTTTCAATGACAAGCTTTGCATTCTTCAGCCCAGGTACCGCACAAGACCAAGGAAATTGTGCGTTGGATTTCTCGGCCAACATTTCCACAGAAGATTCTGTCCATAAAGGTAATTTAGCTTATTACCATCCAATATTTATGCTTACTAATAAACTTTTGATCTAAAACTACTTCCTTGTTTTGCAGAGGAAAGCTTGGGCAAACTGTTTATGGTACCGGACTCTTCTCTGTGCTTTGGGTATGAGACAAGAGAGATGGACAATAAGGCAGCTGAAATGAAAAGGACAGGAGGAACCAATTGGTCTAGAATGTCAAACATCCGCAGCAAGAGGAACCGTACAATTGGGCATGGTGAATTTGAGCAGCTCGATCTTGTGGTTACTGAGTCAGTAATTCGGTGGGCATCATGCACACGTCTCCCTACTGCCACCTCCCTTAGATCTTCTCTTGTCTGTTGAAAGTGTGGATCGGGTGGCAAAATTGGATCAACCTGCAGGATCTAATGAAGAATGAAGATGAAGATACTTGACCTAATGTGCCTACTTGCAATTTTTGTGCTAATGTAATGTAGTAGGTTTGTAGTTGAACTCCAGTGATGAACCCTAATACTTGCTTCCAGTTTGATGTTTGCTCTGTAAAGGTTTGTACCATGAGTAATATTTTTCGAATTTCTCAGGTCATTTTAGCCATGGGTGATTGATGTAAGTTGGTTTCCTTCATTTTTCAGAGTTTATATGACTGGTTTAGGCTGGCCAAAGAATTAAAAAATGATAAAAAAAAATTAGTCAATATTATGCCTGTAAATGGATCGAAAAATGTGCATTGACCCATTTCGGAACCAATTGTAAATCCAAACATTAACACAATCATATACATCTCCATGAAAAAGAAGAGTGAAAGGAAAAGATATAAACATGGCGGCTCAGTACACTAGACCTCACAATCACTAAAGTTGAGTTGAGTTATATATACGTAGTTTTATCTCAACATGCGAAAAAATTGTTTTTACGAGCTAAAGGAGATATGTTTTAACTAAAACGAAATTATAACTTGCCAAAAAACCAAAAAAATTTTACGAGATTTTGAAACATTTGTCGACTAGAAACCGATTTAATCCTCTTTAAGTTTGTCGTTGAAAAGGTAAAAAGTATCTTGGTCGGTCACCATAGAATTAAGATCTTCTGGAAACTTTCTTTGGAAAATAAGGTCCTTTAAGGTGGGTAATGATAAGGTCTTAGCTTATGGACGCAAACCAGCCGCATATTTTGATGTGAACAGTTGCATAAAAGCCAAAAAAATCTCCACTTGAACTTCCTCGGTAGGGCGCTACTCAATTGAAATTCTCTCGCTGATCAAAAAAAAAAAAATTGAAATTCTCTCCATTATCATTTTTATGTAATTTTATTCATGGGTAAATCATTTACTTGAATAATTGAAATTCTCTCCATTATAATTTTTATGTAATTTTATTCATGGGTAAATCATTTACTATTTATTCAAGGGAGACTCACTTTTTAGAAATGGACCCTCCAATCATTTACGGTGATTTATCTAGCATTAACTGAAATTAAGTAAATTAGAATTATGTCTCTCAATTATATCGGGTGAGACAGACTTGTGTCGAATTTTAGCGAATTTATATTAAAAAATATTTTATTTATATTCGATTCGTTTTATTAATTCGTATATAATAAATCATGTCATATCCGATTTGTGTATTAACAATGTATAATACATATATAAACGAGACGTATCGTTTATTTTGGTTTCATCCATACTCGATTCATTTATTAATTATATTGTGTTGAGTCTATTCATCTATTAAACTGATAATTTAAGAAAGACCCAAAATTTTTAATTTCATATCATGTTGAAAATTCGTGTCATATTTTAATAGCCCGAGCGTAATACAGTGGTTCTTTGTCTATATAACCTATAAATTTTCTTGTTTTGCCTTGTATAGAATCCAATGAATACTAACCAAAGGATGGGTTGTCAAGTTTGCTCCTCCAATCCTCAAATCCTATGCAGAATTCCCCAAAACAAACCAAAACATTTACCTTCATCTTCCTCAGTTAAATCGAAGCATAGAATCAAAACATTAACCTTATCCTCCTCTTGTTACAGTCAAAATCAAGAACAGCCTATTTCCACCACCAATTTCACTCAGACAAACCCACAAAAAACTGAGGTATATACTGTTCGATTCAGGACACTGGGTGATTGCAAGCTTGGTATTTCTAGATATCCCAACTTTGAATACAATGCTGAAGGAGGTAAGGGTAGTGGAAGAGGTACAAAGATCGTAGATAATGATCATAATGGGGTAGTTTCTGTCAATTATGACATCAAAACACTCTATATTCCGCCATTGACGACTGCAACAACTAAGTTCTTGGGATTGCCATTGCCACCGTTTCTCAGAATTGATATTGTTCCAGAAAGTTTTCGAGGAAGCATCAACCAAGAATCTGGGCAGGTAGATTATCATACTCTTGCTCTCGTTATCCTTTGGTTTGATGATGTTAAAATAAAAAAGAAAAAAAAAAGGATTTTTTGTACTTTGCACCCCTTAGGATTTCAAGTTTTTCATTTTATACCTTCAAAGATTAATTTTTTTATATTACGCCATCAATATATTAAAAGAATTATAATGTGTATTT